TGCTCGCCAGTATATTGTATTGCTCGCCAATATATTGTATAGCTCGCCAAAATATTGTACTGCTCGCCAGTATATTGTACTGCTCGCCAATACATTGTATCGTTTGCCAATATATTGTATAGCTCGCCAAAATATTGTACTGCTCGCCAGTATATTGTACTGCTCGCCAGTATATTGTACTGCTCGCCAATATATTGTATTGCCCGCCAATATATTGTATTGCTCGCCAATATATTGTATGTCCCGCCATTGTCCGCCAGCAGGCGGGCAGTCGAGGCGTGTCTCGCAGTCACAGCGCCAGCGACCTCCTGGATGCCGGCCTCTTCAGCGCCCCCGCCACCGCCGCCACCGCCGCCGCCGCGCTGTCCGCCAGCGTCAGCAGTCTCACGGAGGGCCAAGCCAGGGGCGCGGCAAGCCGGTATAAAGGTAAGCCTTACAGGCTGGTGTCAAGGGTCTTCTCTAGTCGGTATTAAGGTAAGCCTCTGCAGGCTGGTATGAAGTTGTTCCTAGTTTTTCTAGCTGCGACGGCATACAAATTGGTGAAAAATATAACTCAGTACTCACTGTGCACAGTGAGTGACAGAGAGCGCATTTCCTTGTCCGTCCGTGACGTGAAGTCACGGACGGACGTAACGGACGGACATGACGAGCACAATTGCGCCTTTTTTCGATAAATGAGAAAATACGCTAAAAAGCCTAGAAGAAAACTGGCTTGTTGCTAACCTTGAACTTTTTCATTATATCTGCTAAATTATAGCTCCAGTCACCTCAATAATTGCTAAAAAAAGCTTGCGTATAATGATAATAATATTCGTATTATTGATAACATTATTAATTATGAGCTAACAAATGTTTCTTGCCTAAATAAATTTCGATCTGACGTCGCAGTTGACAGCTGCGGCGACAGCAGCAGCAGCAGCAGCAGTGAAGGCACCCACGTCAGCACTACACACGTCAGCAACATCGTCGTCAGCGCTGACCCCGTCAGGGCTGACGAGAGGGATGCCTTGACGAGGCTTGACGAGCTGTCTCGTCGCCGTCGAGATGACCACGAGCAAGTATGTGCTTCATTTAGGAAATTAAATAATTTATATTTTAATCATAATAATATAATAATTATTATAAAAATATCAATATATTTAATAATAATAATAATTATAATTGATATTATTGAAAATAATTGATATTTTCATTTATATTGATATAATTGATATTTTTTATTATAATAATATAATAATTATAATGAAAATATCAATATATATAATAATAATGATAATTATAATTGATATTATTGAAAATAATTGATATTTTTATTTTAAATATATTGATTAAATTGGGGTCATATTATCTCATTCTATTGAATGAAATAATGTCTCATGTTTCTATCACATCTATTCTTATCTTTTTCTATTTGTTGGCTGTAACATTTGCTTACTCGCTTTATTTATGTGTATAAATGCCACTGCACTTGAACCAAAAGAATATAATTGTAGAGATGATCGTTAATATTTCATATGAATATACATAAGCATACTATATTATTATTCTAAACTATATTACAAAACTTACAAACTGTACTATGATTGATTGTAGTATTTATGTGTTATTTTATGTATATATTATATCTGTCTCTTATACACATCTAGATGTGTATAAGAGACAGTGNTGTTGTAGTATTTATGCGTTTTTTATCTGCAGACTGGCAGAATAAGCGAGGCTGCAGAGCCGCAGCTGCAGATCGTAGACCTGCAGCTGCAGCGCATCAGGCAGCACCAGCGCCTGCTGGCAGAGCAGGAGCAGCTGCTGCTGCACGAGAAGACACTTTATGCTGTAAGATCTATTCCTTTAAATATATATATAATATACGTATATATTTATTTGAATTTATATATATTTATATTTGAATTTATATATATTTATATTTGAATTTATATGTATTTATATTTGAATTTATATATATTTACATTTATAATTGTATTCTAGGAAAGATATTTTCTTTGTAATTGAACGTTAATAAGGCAAAAACATTTTTGCAATGGGCTTTTAACATTTTCATCCCTTAAAATGGAGGCCCGTTGTGCTTTATTTAGTTTTTAAATGTAAAGTTTAGCAAAATTAGAGCTTCAAATAACGGACTTCGGAAGATATTTCCCTATGCAACATCAATAATTAATATCATCTTGACCTGTTATGGTATCGGTAATTTTATGCGGCATACAAGATGATGACTCCCTTATCATTATTATTACCATTATTGATATATTAATATTATTTTATACGAGCCCTCGCAGCCTTTGCACTAACAAGCTTGCGTGTGTCACGTTTCACACGTTGATGGAACTTTACGTTTCAAAGTATTGAGTGAACCGATACCTGAATGCAATGACCAATTTACCACACACTGTATTAATCTACTACTAACTAGACTATTTAAATCTGGTAGCAGCACCTCCCTTTGGGCGTGCTGAGACTTCTTTATTTATTCAATATAATTGCCGGCTGGTATTCAGGGGGTTCGGAACAGTTCGATAGTGATCCTGCAAGTTGAGTAACTATTGAAGTTTTCGCCAATAATTTCGTTACATTGGGAAATTTATCGGTTAGAATTAGAGACATTTTATTCGTAAACGTTCATCCATCCAATTGTGAATTCCACGCAAAAAAGTATCTAGGTATGAATTAAACTGCATCAGTAACCAAATTTTATTGATAGCGATTAATAAAGTGTGTTCGGGAAACATTCATTGTGGTCTTAATATTAATTCACTCGTAGGTATAGTTTTTCTGCGATTTTGATCCCTGTCATATTATTTACATCAATTCTATGAATAATTTTTGTTGTTAGATTTGCTTGATATTGGTATTTCATTCATGAAAATACCCTTAAAAAATACCCTTGTATTATATAAGCATTGTAGACGTGTGTCTCATTTGCGCCTGAATAGTTGTAGCTTCAGTGGTTATTCTCTTAATTACAGAGAACGTGCATGAGACGAGGAAATCATGTCGTTATCTGATTCTTAATCTCGTTATCTGTGACAGATCCTTCACCTGTTCTGATACCCGATAGTTTGTCATTGCCGTTGTGGTATTTGAACATGAACACATTAACTTACTGTATCCGTTTATTATCAATGTTCGAGACCAATGTATTCTCGTCTAAAATAATCTTATTATAATTGGTATTGAAAATTAAGACAGTTTTGAATTTTGCCACTGGTTTCGTAACAGGCACTTATTGCCTAAAATATTCTCTCTATATAAAATAGCACATTTGTCAAAGATTCAAGGTATTAGCGATCATAAACGATGTTGTTTGAGAAGATCGTGTCTCAAGCACATCATCTTATCGCTTTGATAATTAAAACAAACATTTTCCGTGCGTGACAGAACGCGGATGCAGTAAATGAAATCTTTCTACTGGCCTGTTGCAAAGAAAAACTGATAAGTGTCCTGCGACAGCATTTTGATCGTAGTCAGCGGCTGAAGAGAAAATGAACGATGTTTTTCTTATTTGCAACAAAATATCATAATTTTATTTTATAATTGTAAACTATCATGTTTGACAAGCGGATCAGGATAAGAGATTTATTTTTATATACTATCAGTGACGACGAGAATTTATAGTAATCCCTTGAACTCTTTACCTTATCAAGGTAAAGTACTATAGGTAGTCCATTGATACTAAGTACTATAGTCCAAGTACTACAGTCCATTGATCAGGTATAACTTAGCCAACCAAATATATGATGATTAAATTCTTTATGTTCCGATGAAGGTTGTTTGTCGCAAGAATGTGATTACTGACTAGTGATTTTTTCGCTAACAAGTCATCAATAATTATAGTCTTACGACTGAGTCTCATACTAAATCATTAAGTAGCTGGAAGGCTTATTTTGTTCATAGATTGAGTAGTGTTCTGCTTCTCATTTGTGATAAGATGCCTTAGATGCGCCTTGCATTTTTTATCAGCTCCTTATCATTGAGCAACATCTTTCTTTATCTCGATGTTATCTGCCTGTCGTGTACGAGTTAATCTCAATGTGTCCGCTCAGTGGTCATTTTCATACAAGTGTATGGTGTTGTCTGTGTTGGGGTTCTGTATTTGTGTGAATTATTACTTATGTTTGAAGTCTCCTTCTGAAATTCATTAGCAGTTGTGATCGTCGATGTTATTTAACACATGTGAGTTCTTAATGAGTTTTTTTTTCTTGAAAACGCAAAGTTCTCTGTAGAAACGATCGGCATTTTAACTGCCCAATAGATTCTAATAGATTACGGCGCTCGATCTCGTGCTGAATATTAACTTAATTTTATCTGCGTGTGTACCATTTGAAGCTGACTATTCTTATTGGGATTGTAGAGATTTTTTAGCATCTTGGTTGGGAGGATAGATTTCTTGATCTTCAAACATTCAAACGTTACTAGAATATTTGACTTAATGGCGCTAGAATTGTTTACTAGTTCATTTTCACCGGTACCGAGTTTCATATCTCGTACTTCCCCGTAACAGTATATTCATTGCTCAGAATGATTTCATATGATTCTTGGATATATATACCACTAGGTATATATATATCCTAGATATATATACTATTACTAGATATATATCCTACTAGGTAGGATATATTATGCCACTAGCAATTAGGCAAGTAGGGTCTACCACCAATAGGGTTGAGGTAATGAAAAGTTAGTTGGAAGTTTCCGGACTATCTGGCGATATCTTCCATTATCTCAATGTGATTCCCTTTCAAGATAGGAAATTTCATCGATTACATCTTGCATTTTCGTAGTACAAAGACCGCATGATTTTTAGATAGGCTAATTACTCGAAAATTGCTTGCTTCGATGCCGGATCGTTTATATGATGATGCCATATTCATACCTTCGATTCCTTTTCTCAATTGTTCGTATGTATTTTCTTTTACTTCTTGAAGTTTGTTTGTGTGAAATTATTTTTCCAGTTCTCTCTGCTTAATTTTGTTCATTTTTGCCGGGTAATTGTTATTCAGTAGGTTTCCAGTGATTTTACATTTTCACGTCAGTATAGATTTTTTTATGTATTCTATGTTCTTACGGCACAATTGGTCGAGTATTATTCTATTGCTATTAAATCACAACCAAGATTAATTTAGCAAATCATTTTATCGTTGACAGGACCGGCATCATTGTTCGCCTGGCGGTCAGTTGACACACTTCTCCACGAGCGACTCAGACACCCTCTACTCACACGCTCCCTCGAGCAGCGTGTCTTCCAGTGGGTCTCCATCATCAAGTTATTCCAGTGGCAAACACACTTCACGTATAATAATAAAATCCTGCCCTCCTCCGCCACCACTTCGGTCAGGGTCACACGGCTTGGACGGAATCAGTTCATTGGACTTGAAGTCTTCGTGTCATCAAGGTTGCTCAAGAGCATTGTCCAGTCAAGCGTGCTGCGATAGTCCCCCTAAGTCTCGTGAGTGCAGTCGCTGCCGTGTCTCGTCACATCGTCAGTCTCCTCCTTCATCACCATCCAGCAGCAGCGGCGTGTCGTGCTCGTCTCATACTCTACAATCTTCGTCTACGGTCTGTCGGTCTAAGAGCTTCGACGCACTGTCGTCGCATTTACACGACGATTCCTCAGCTTGGGACTGTGTGTCGTCCTGCGATTCTAAACCTTATTGCAACACAACGCAGTCACAAAAAGGCAACGGCAACATCCCACCAGCCCCACCTGCGCTTAACGGATTGAACTTTTCTCGCCCGTCCACCCTCCTCAAGATGAGCGACAACGGCTCCGGGTTTGCGACCCCAGACGCTGAACACCGAACCAACCTCGCAGCGGCGCTCTCGGATGTCGTCAGCAGACGCAACGCTGAGGTGGGTTTGATTCTTTGTGGCAATTCTTTTTGTTGTTAATTGTCACGTGCGTTGTTGTAGGCATCTGATCAGTTGTTTAGAGCATGATCATGTGCGTTGTTGTAAGCAGATATTTAGCTGTGTATAGCATGATTAATGATTATGTTCATGAAATTTTATGTGTTTTTCTTGGACTTGGAAACGAAGCATTCTCGCTTCCGTTGATTAACGGCGCTGCAAAACTGGGCAATTATCATTGGTATTCGGAAGGCATTAATAATCAGATATATCACTAATAAGTACAATGCTTTAAAAACAGCAAAATAGTATTGAAATTATTGAGAGACAAAAGAGATACTGGAAAGTATACGTCGTAATAATATAAATTTTTGCAGCTCTCATCTGACGCGGCAGACGAAGGCGAACGCGCTTTAGCCTTCGAAGCTAAAATCGATGCCCTGAAGCGCGAGAAGCCGCCTGCGGTCAACCCTAAAAGGCTGCAGCATGAAAAGGTAATCAAAAATTAGCTGGAACAATTTCGGACTGCTTTTATACTCAAATTTTGAATGCAAATATGATCATTTCTTCGAAACAGTCGAACCTTTTTACAGGCACGTAACTTTTTACAGATAGTTTAAACTTGGTGTAAAAAATATTTCTATGCTCCAAAGATTTTGGAGTTACAGATCCACAGAATTTTGCTAAGACACGGTTCAGAAATTCAGTCTTAAACTATTGAGCCTAATGTAATATTTGTATTTTCCAGTTATAGCCTGATTTATTTTGTCCGTTATTATGAATTAACACAATAGATTTTACTATTGCAAATTCATTCAGACCGCTAAAAAAATGGTAATTTCAGTTAATGGAAGAGTTGAAGCAGAAGCGCAGTCAATTATTCGATGGAGAGGACCGCACCAGATCCATCTCGCCGACGTCATCTACCTCTAGTGAAGTACGGTATTTCGGCGCCGCTTCCTCAAAAGTCCCAAGTTCCACCAGCAATGGGACAACTGTCGTGTTAAATACTTCCACACAACCAAAGACGTCCCCTACTTCTACGGAAGTACGAAATTTTGGTAGCACTGCCTCTAAAGCCCCAGGTTCTTCCAACGCTGGACCAAAGATCGCTCCAAACACCTTGGCACAACAAGGGAACACCAAGAAATCGACCTCTTTTGTATTGAAGCCCGTCAAGCAAGTAGAAATCGTAGAGAAAAGCGTTCCCAAGCCCGCTAATAGTGAGCCAATTTCTTCTAAAATTGTAAATAGATCATCGACTACCGTACAAACCCGTACGCAAACAGAGACTGTTGCTCTTAATCGTCCTCAGGAGAAAAGTGTCAGTGATGACGTCATGAATGGTGATGACGTGAGCAGCGCTCGTCATTTCTGGAAGAAGCAAGAGAATGTGAAGAAACCTTCGTCTGTGCCGAATAGACCCAAAGGCAAAGCAGTCCTGCAAGCAACTGCGTCGTTTTCTGGCTTGAAAAGTACCGTTGAAAGTTCATCTTCTTCTCCGGAGAATAAATCAAGTCCGTTCCCAGTCCTATTGAAAAGTATCAATGCGACTCCGACCATCGAAGAAGACGTGGAAAGTTCAGAACCTCAGTCAACATCAACATCGCAGCTCATCAAAAACTTCAACAAAATCGCTTCCTCGGCCCCGACTAAAACCGCACCTGAAAAGCCAAAAGCTGTTATCATCAAAACAAATACCACAACTTCCGAGGAGGTTAAACGCAACACTTTGGTCATGACTTCTGGGCCATCCATTGACAGAACGCCGAAGCTCGTTTCCACTCAGGTATCCTCCACTTACACAATAATTCCACCCCCTCCTTCTCCCTCTCCTCCAGCCATCAATGATTTTTCGAAAGAAATAAACCATCAAATTTTCCACAAACCCTCTTCGTATTCTAATTCAGGTAACACGTCTAAAGTTTATGTTTCAATCAACGGTAACGACTTTGAGTCGCCAAATTCTAATTACACGTTTGACATGCAGTCGGATACCATCCATTCAAAGTCAAATAGCACTACTTCATATGCTAACAGTCACTTTTCCAAACCTGATATTGATTATTCTGAAATACCATTTTCTGAATTACCACCTCTTCACTCTACCAACTTAGACTTGACTATTCGTAACGTCTCTCCTTCTGAATTGATTATTCCCGAGCCTCCAAGTTCCACTGCTGTTTTAAGTCCATCCGAAATTCCCAGAGGAGTGCCTCCCCCACCTTCGAGTGGTGACGTGAGTTCTGATTTTGGTTATGCATGGTGCATGTTTTTGTTCGCCTCAGGCAACTACAAGCTGACTGAGATTCTTCAGTTCTTATTTCGGTTTCACTTCGGCCACATCAAAAATTAGCTCATTTCGAATTCTGGCTGCTCTCGGCCACAGATGATCAGACTGATAACTTATTTCACATTCTACTGCACTCTGAGGTTCTTCTTTCCAACTTGGTTTTATGTTCACTTTATTTAATTCTTGTAATCATTATGATCGGACTTGCGTTGTAGCTTTTCTCCGCGTTTGTTAAGCATGTAGAATTACTCTGTTTATCTTTCGGTCGGTTTATGACACGGGATGATCCTATTTACTTTTGGTAAATTTTTGGTTCTTTGTTGACTCTCATTCTCACTCTCTTAAAAATTCTTGTCATGGTTAGCATCTAACTGCAGGCGACTTCAGTTATTAATAACCTCAGATTCTACAGGGCTAACATTGTTTATTTTCCTCCAAGACCTCTAACAATTTTCTAAATTCGTAATAAATTAATACAATGCATGATTTACATTGTCACTAGGCAATTATAAATTCTAAATTTCAGTTCATCGTATTATTCTTCTTACAATTTGAGTTTTATAGTTAATAATGGCATCATTAGTTTTTGTTTCTCTACTTGCTTTAAAATTTCAATAAAATTTATTTTTGTTTTCATGACATAACATTTCATAACAAGTCTCAATGATAAATACGTAAATTAGCTGCTTACAAATTTTGCAGAATTTTTCTCCGTCTTCTTTAAAAATTACATACTCGAACTCTTGTGATTTCGGTAACAGTCAATGTTCCTCGTCATTTTTTATTATTTAAAAATTGTAGGTTTGTAAACCTAGGATTTCCCCCCTTTATATTTCATTAATTAAGTCACGATGACATGCTAGAACTATTCAATACATTTTTAATGGTCATTTTCTCTTTTCTCGCCATCTATGCGATCACTTATTGCAACACAAATATTTTTATTGAAAACTGAGAAGGATCTCGGTATGAAAATTTCATGTTTCCTTTTTTAAATAGTTGAAGTCATGTTTTTCTGAATTTCTCTCAACATGCCTGAAATATGCGTTTTAAATATTTTGCAATAGTATAAAATTCTTATTGAAATCTTGAATTTTTTATTTACTCTCCAATTTGAAATTGAGACTATATGTTCAAATCGATGGAAACATCTTCTTTACATCATTATTTCTGTTGTGTCATCATTATTATTCTGTTCTGTTTACCAGCACATTCACGCTTTGCTAACTTTAGATTGAATAGAGTCAACTTTATTCGGGTTCCTCCTTTCTATCATTGAAATTATAGAAGAAACTTTTACTAGATATGCACATACACGGATATTAATGTATATTTTTCACTACAGAGTTGGAGCGAACGTTTCGAAAGTCGCTTGCATCCCGCTGACAGCAGCACTGCTGCTGGTGCTCCGCGACCGGACATGGGGCGCTCCGTGTCCACCGAATACAAGAACATCTTCACCAAGATCGACGCGAGCGGTAACAAGCCGCTGGTCTCCATCAATACATACGGATCATGAATATTTTAATGCTCTTGTAATGAATGCAACTGATCGCTCCTCAGATGGTGTATGCTTGTTGTTAATGTACTAAAGATCGTAGATTTATATATTCTTTTTTCAACTCCATCAAGGCAAATCACATATTCAACATGATTTATTGGACTTGCTCTAATTTTCTACCGCCCAAAACACATGTTCGTAACATGTAGAAAGTTTTTCGTGACTAATAACTTTTTGTCGCTTCGTCCAGTGTCTTTACTACGCATACTTCCAGTCCGAGTCGCGTTCATTCACGTATATTGATGTTCCTGATACCCAAGCCTTACATGAAGGACATCACCGTTTCGGCTCAGAGCCAAGCAGCTGATGGAGGTTTGCTGCAGGACATACGACGGCCTGTCAGTTGCTGGCTCTCCCGAAACAAACCTGCTGCTATGTTTGAGCAGAATAAAACATGTTGCTGAGTTTGAGCTGATGCAAACGGATTGCTGTGGCTAGCAGAAGCTAATCTGGGGCTGTGTTAGAGCTGATGCAAAGCTCTTGCTCAGTTTTCGCTACTTTAAAATTGTTGCTGTTTTCGTGCTGCAGAAAATTTGTTGCGGTGTTCGAGCTAAAGCAAATTTATGGTTGTGTTCGGCCTGAAGTGAATCTGTTGCTGTTTTCTTGCTGCAGGAAATTGCTGCGCTCTATTTGAAGCGGATATGTTCACCTTCTCTTATATCTCTTGAATCCTTTTGTATTGTTTGTATATTGTATTGAATCCTTTTAATTATTTAATACAAACTCTGACTCTTTCAAAAGACGTAGAGATAAAACTAATTTAGGGGTTAATACACGAATCACAAGTAAAATGGATTTGATTTGAATTTTTTAGTATCTCACTGATGTGCAAGTTTGTTTCTGTTCGACCAATGATTTAAATAAATACAGAAAAGGCTTCACTTCATATTGCGATTTTAGTCTCCCTGAGCTAACGCTAATTATTTATTCATCTCCGGGAAATCGTTTCTTGCACTTTAATATTGAAAATTAAGCCTGAAAAATGAAGCGCTTTGTTACGTAAAAAACTAACATTTGGAATGAGATGCTCCAGGTACAATATTTGAAAAACAGTGAAAGAAATAAATTTGGAAATTCAGTGAAATATTTTCTTTTAATTAGTTTCTACGCTAAGACTTTGACTTTGTCCATATTTTCCCATAGGGGCGTTTTGAGATTTTTTCTTGTATGATATTGTTTGTAATTCTAATCTAAGGTCATTCAATATATATGACTGCATATTGTGGAGTTTAATTAACGACGAATTTGTGTGACCGAATAAATACCGATACCAGTGAATTTGTCATCTAATGAATTATAATAGTCATATGTACATACCACCCTACGTAGAATTTTGACTAAAGGATTTTCCAGTGACTGACGTTCGTTGAGTATAAATGAGAGTTTTATATAATCTTTGAATCAGAAAATATAGTAGTGCTATTGTACATTGTGTACTTTATTACTGTACCGCGATGAATAATCTATAATACATTTTGGCTTGAAACCTATCTTATGTGTTTAAATAATTCGTTGTTTATGGAAACGTTGCGAAAAATACTATGTATATTGTAAAGTATTATTTTACCGGTGTTATGTTTCATTCAAAATTGGATAATTTGGCCACTTTACGATAAAGTCAAAGTTAAAAATAATATATTGGTACCACCCAATGTATGCAATTATGTTTCACTAGCTTGCGGACGAACTTGCTCAATTTTGATGTACATTCTACTATTAAACTTTACAAAATATTGCATTTGTTACGAAACGTAAACGTTCAAAAAAGCATTTACGTGAGATTGAGGACATTGCCGACGTTTGCTGGTCTTGAAATCGTCGCTGCTTCAAAGGTGTTACTCTGCACGGTTAGGTTTTATTTATAAAAAACGCGTACAAGAAAACATATTTTCCATTTTTTTATTTTCTTTTTCAAAAGTTGCATTGCCTAATTCGTGTAATCAAATTTCTGCTCTGTTTAATTTAAATACAGTCTTTCACGCACTCCATTGCTTCGATATGCGAGTGCCGGCCTAGAGGGCAGTTTTGTAATGACTACGCGTCTGATTCACTAACATTTATTCGAACAGAATATATTATTTGTGTTGTTATCTTCTTTTTATTCTAGTTTCGGAGCCGTGTTTTAACCATGTTTTGCAGTAGCCACTGGCAACGCAGTATTTTTCTTATGTACACAAGGTAGTATGTATGTATGTATGTATTCTTGTAGCCAACATGTTCTGTTTTGTTAAATTATATGTTTTTTTTGTGGATACACATATTCAGAAGACTATACTTGAAAAATAATTCGTATTAATTACCCATGAGTTAATATATCTATATGCTAATAGGACACCAGTGGTGTTGTTATATTTTTCATTATTAGGTCAACAACATTTAAAGATGACAAATTCGGGTAAACTGTTATAAATAATGACACCCCTTCAGAGCTTGAGCTGATGAACTAATTACATTTATGTCAATACGAATCTATTAAATGCCGGAACACGTTTTTATGCGGGTGATTTTTATACATTTAATCCGGATTTAACCTTAAACAGTGAATCCGATCGAGAGTCCGTAGGCCGTTCCATTAAAGCGCGCTTAAGAGGCCCGTTCACGGACGCTCCAACTCTAAACTCGGCACTCTGGGCGAGAGCAGTGTAAATTTCAGCGGCAGCGTCTGGCAGCGTAGTGACGTGGTCTATAAGGTGCGCGAGAATAGTGAAGTATGAGCTGAACATTAATTGTGCATAGATTTTTTTAGTTACGTCGAGGTAAAAATTTTCATTACTATTTAAATTCTCGCTATTTCCCGAGTTAGCGCAAAATTTCTCATCTTCACTGCAGACAGCGGCTTATTTTTCACTAATAGATGAACCGTTCGCTGCAGACAGAAATTCAGTGCACTGCGAACAGTGTCCACCAGTCTATTCTGATCATTCAGGCTGTTCATGATTATTAGTACATAATTTATCTTGATGTCTACGTATTAAAAATAATTAGCCAGGATAGCATTCCAAATTTCAGACTTATATCTTATTTATGAGGGGAGTTATTGGACCTAGTAATAGTTATAAAATTACATTAGCGACTAACGCGGCTGAGCCGGCTGAACGGGCCTCTTAATAAGTCCACGTAGCGATCGATTACTCGCCTGTGATTAGTGGTTTTAGCTTGGAAAGCCATCGGTGATTGGCGGATGAAATTAAAAACTCATAAATATTTTTGATAGGACGGCTCCAAGTAACTTGCTTACCACACAGATTTGTGTGTGATGCATGGTATTAAAGCTTCTATAGTATCACGTTTAAATCTAGAAAATTAATTTTAAATGATATTTTGACATCGCGTTTGAGAACCACGACCAAATTAATGAAATGGGTTTAAAGTATATCAAAACTTAGTCGATGTTTGCCGTGAAAATAATTATTGCGATGCCAAAGCTACCTGGGGTAACGAACGTAATTTATAATAGCGAATTGAATTTCAAGGCCTTGAATTTCAAGGCATTCAAATATGTGAGCTCAGCAGATGAGTAATACAGTAACCACCATCTGAAAAAGGTGAAATATTTCGATAGGTAATGACTCGCAAGAAAGAGCAAGTTATTCATGGTGAATTTCACTCATGTTTACTTGCCATTCAGCATAATCTAAGTTACGTTAATGCTGGTGATTTCCATAGAGATTGTTCCACTTACAATCCACTTGGTGTGAGGGAGGGCGAACAGTAATAAAAACCGCGTACTCCTGACATAGCTATTCTAGCCTAGGGTTTAATAATATGCTCCCACTTTGTTAAGCAAAATCCTCGATCAATTCAGCTATGTTCTAGTATCATCAACTTCAAGTTGATTTGATTCGCAAATTTTTGTGTAGGTTTTGAAAATTTAACATCCGACAGAGTAGTCTATCTAATAAGATGCTAAACGAACTAAGTATAGAATACATTCCACATTAAGTCCAATGAAATCAGGTGAATTCAAATTAATAATCATTCGAGAAATGTGAATAGAATTATCTTATTGATGTTTATGTATATCATTATAAATGCGTGAAGCAATTTTTTTAATTGGTGACTTTCAGCAAGTTCCCGGAACATTTATTGCTGGCCTCATTTATTATTATCTTCGAATTAATTTCTACAGAGTTGTCAATTAACGATTCCTCTAAGGCATGAAAAGATTGAGAGCTCGTTCTGCTAGTGTCAAATGCCCTACTGTAGTCGTGGTATCGCTCACCTGATCCTGGGAATTCATCATGTGAGGTGCAAAAGCGGCTAGTACCTCTCACTAGAATACTGTCACTACTGTTTATCCGTCGAGTTGCGATAAATTAAGTATTTGTTTAAAATAAATTAACAAACATCAGCTGTAGAAATGGTGACTGCAGACAAGGTGAGTATTACAAAAATGCCAAAATATACTCTTTGCATTATTCATGATGTTATTTATTTTAAAATTTGCTAAACTATGCAAATACATGTTACATAATAAGGAAAGCAAAAATTTTTCAGGATTTTCCATGAAAAATTTCTGAGCTCAAATTTTTTTGGGATTTTCCTTAGGGAAATTTATGAATAATTTATAGGTATATTCACTACCATCAAATGGAGTAATAAAGGAATTATAGTCAGGTGGGCTGGCCCGTGGCCGCTGGCCCGCTGGTGGGTTACTGGGGACTGGGGTAAGACAGGACCGAAATCACTAACAAGCCTGTAGCATCTAGCCGCCATCTATACCAGTCGTAACCAGTTGTTCCCAAAGTGGGCGATATCGCCCCCCTAGGGGCGGTGGAAAGCTTTTGGGGGGCGGTAAAGAAGAAGAGGGCGATAGGGGGGCGGCAGTCATAGTGGCAAAGCAGAGTTTGTTTAGAATCTCCTTCTAGTTCATTTTTGAGTCCTATAAGTAGACCAGAAAAGTATCATGGATACCAGCATTATCATATTTAATAAATTTGTTAAAATCTTGAGTGAATTAGGACATTTAAAATGAACTGATTCTAAAAAATCTCTGGTTTGTCACTATGGCGGCAGTCCGAAGTCGAAGTCAGAACTTCGAAGTTCGAACGTTTGTTTGACGATTTGTACACAACACGTGCATCACATCATAACTCCCAGCGATGTTTTTTTCACCCAGATCTGTTTTTTTAACCTCTCCTGGGTTTACGTCTCGGACAAATTAACGACCGGACTTGCGGCCGGTCTCACAGCCTATTTCCAAATTCAATGCTCAAGGAAATTAAAGGAATATCTCTCAAACTAATGAACTTAACTCAACGAATCTTGGTACACGTATTCTGGTATTCATTAGGGTAAACGCGGTATATTCCGACATCGTGGGTAATTCCGTCACCTCTCTAGTTTTTCCTTTATATTAAGCTTTGTTTTAGTTCCATGCGTTCCTTGATGGTTGAAATGGTGACGTCATTGGTCATACATTTGCGTGTCGAACTACTGCCAAAACACTAGGTCTTGGCCATCTAGCAGGAAAATATTGAGATCCAAAGAGAGACAATGCATGCTACCCAGTGAGATCATCGAAAAATGTGTCAAATTTGACAGTTGACCTTGCTCTACCAAATAGTGAATAACTGTTTGTATAGGAAGAATATTATGGTTTGAGACTTTTAAATACGTCTGTGAATATATTAGGAATCCTTTAAGTATACTTGTATTGGCTGATTTCAAGTGGTAAATAAATTAATAGATGATTAAGTTGAGAAACAGATTTAGACACATAAAAACTAATTCCGACACAACTTGAATTGGACAGGCACGGCTCGTTCCAAGCTGTGTGCAAAAATTAAAATTTTCCTAATTAAAAGCTTAATAACTTAATTAAAAGCCTAATTAAGTAGTGCTCAATATTCTATAGTGTTCTAATTCAAAGCCATGTCGTATTCCAATACAGCTCACACAGCAATCGGAATTCGAACACGGGGATGTCGGAATTACGTATTAGTACAATATGAAGCGCGGTTGGAATACGTCTCACCACGTGCCAAATAGTCACACACAGAGTCGGAACATAGGGATTTGGTAGGTTTGCATTCTAAAGGCTTTTAAATAAATATGGCAACATTTTGTGATGTTTCATCGTAGCTGGCGCGTAGTGCGGTGTTTTGAGAGTCACATAAAGCTAACAGAACTTGAGTAACGCATATGGTTATTTTTTTATAGTTTTTCATTTCTCGATACGTCCTTAATGTGTCGGAATATACCGCGTTTACCCTAGCTCTAAAAAATCCCTGAAAAATGTGGAAAAGTGATATTTTGAAAATATAATTTTTCTAAGGTCTGTAGCCTACCTACTCTATACTCTTTGGTAAAATAAATATTGTCTGTATTAAAAAATTTTGGTGGAAAAAAATTTGCAGTTTGCAGACAGGTGTTGGCTCTTGAACTTCATGATGGAATTTATGTAGGTTAACTGTTAACACTGTTAACTGTTAATTGTTAACTGTTAACTTATACTTCAATGTTCAATCCAAAACAAAATGGCAGCTATTTCTGCATGACAGGGTAGTAAGGGACTCCCCTCCCCCCAGCCTCGGGGTAACATGGGACACCCTCTAAAACTCATATGCAATAGAACCTTCATTAGCAAAGGCTTCAGTTAATGAAAAAATTAATTAACAGCACAGAACTTTGATAACATTTAATATGCACAGCAAAAAAAAAAGGTATTTGACAAAAAATTAATGCATCATTGTCATCACAAAATTGCGCATATAATGTCATAGATAGAATTGTGCACTGGGCAGCATAAAATGAAAAGTAATAACCCTAAAGTCTAAACTATGATTTTTTCTCAAAAAAAAAAAAAAAAAAATGAAAAGTAATAACCCTAAAGTCTAAACTATGATTTTTTCTCAAAAAAAAAAAAAAAAAAACCTGATGGTTGTCACTAAAATTTCCTTTCTGTTTCAGGTAGGTTTTTTAGCTACAAGATTTTTTTTTTGTTATAGTGAATGTATTTGACCTAATTAAAATGGTGCAAAATTACAAGCCAAGTCCTGTAGGCTTTCAGTATTAGATACAGAAGAAATGTTATATGGCTGTGGATACAAAGTTTGCAGTGGACACAGTCATTGTCAATGTTCAATGACATGTCCATGAATATGGTAATAGCAGGTAATAGCACATCAATAATACAGTACTGTGTGGATATGGTAATATATCAATTTAAGACAAACAAGTACAAATCACAGAAAATGTTATTTATTCTACATCTACATCATCTAAAAAGGAAGAAGAGGACCTTGGAGTACTGTTAGTAATTGATAAGTACACTTTGCATGCTTCAAACGTCTTAAAATTAGGTTTTATCTCAAATGTCCTAAATCACCCCGTTCCCAGGGGTAATTCGGGACACTTTTCTTTTGTGTCTGGCACCTTACAAATAGCATATGGAATAGTTTTGGAGATGCCATGCAATAGCCCTTGCAAAGGCCTTTAAAATGAGCCCAAATTTGTTCATGAAATGTTTCATGGTAAGAAGTTATTAACGGAAAATGGTCAAGACCATCTCTTATTACCCCATTTGATGGTATATGATCTCTCCTAATCATGTTTTAGTGCATTTTCTCATTTATAGAAAAAATGCACTATTGTGCTTGCCATGTCCGTCTGTCTGTCTGTCCGTGACTTCACATTTTTGTGGATGAAAAAATGCGCTCTCTGTCACTCACTGCAGTGAGTACTGAGTTATATTTTTTCAGTCTAAAGTTAGTCATCTGCATAAATGATCTTTTGAAATGTCAAATTGAGTTCCTTGTATATATTTAATTGAAAACTGACTAAATTTTATTGCATTTACCTTCTAAGATGGAAGTGGACCTTCCCATCAAGAGGAGTGATGGAGGCTACAAGGCTTACTACAGTCACAAGACTGAAAACCTTCAAGTTGTCATTGGAGAGAAAATGCTTGATCTGAGGCGGTTGCAGGCCCAAAGGAACGAACTTAATGCTAAAGGTGAGCTGTCTTTTATATGTTGTATTTATTACTTGCTGCAATATAAAATAATTTTTGTTTAGCTTATTTGCTTGTAGTTTAGGTTAGAAAAGTTCAAGTCTTGTATAAGCCTATTTTCCATAATATGTATTTCAATACATTTTTTATGCAAATTATTTTATTTTGCAATGATTTGTACCTGAAGTGGCATCAACAAGGACTTTGTGCACATCTATACTTTACAAACTCTACAAATGTGCACATCTATACTCCACAAGCTCTGCAAATGTGCACATCTATACTCTACAAACTCTGCAAATGTGCACATCTATACTCTACCAGCTCTGCAAATAGGCGCATCTATAGGCTGTTTATTACTGATACAAGTATGTCAATGAGCATGAAAATGGTAACAAATACATCCATGTGTGCAGTTCGTCTCTTGAGAGAAGAGCTACAGTTGCTGCAGGAACAAGGTTCTTATGTTGGTGAAGTGGTCAAGCCCATGGACAAGAAGAAGGTGCTTGTCAAGGTACATCCTGAAGGCAAGTTTGTGGTTGATATTGACAAGAACATCGACATCAACCAGATAACACCAAATGCTCGTGTTGCTCTCAGGAATGACTCCTACACTCTGCACAAGATTCTTCCTAATAAGGTTTGAATTTTATTCTTTAGACTCGTTCTATATTTAGTATTCTTTTATCTGCATGAGATACTTGTTTTTTATGGATGATACTTTCAACTTTAATCAAGTAAACTTTTCAGTAGCTTCTTTCTTTTTTACTTTGCCAAGTGCCATAGAACTCTACATTTTGAAAAAGTTTTATTGCTAGGGTTTTCAGAAAATTTTTTCAAGGAGTGCAAATTCATCAAAAATTTTGATGGTGCTAAAATATTTTGGTTAAAATTTGGTCCTCAATTCCACTCTTTTTGTATTAAATAATTATTTATTTACTGGTTTTCTGCATCATTAAAAGAAAAAGCTATATCCCATCAATACACACATTTTTGACTTACAATTCACGAATGACTTCATATTGATTCAGATTAGCTGATAGAAACATTGCTTTACTCAGAAAATATTCTTGTAGTAATTTATTGCCAAACTTCCCCTAGTAGAGAGTTCTTACATCCAAAAAGAACAATCGATGAAAACCTGCTATTGTTCTTAACCTGAAGCGTTATATGCTTATATATTGTCTGAGGTTCATATGCTTGTGACCACCATTGTTAGCTGGTATGTTGTCAAAGTTTTCAAATTCATCATAATTCATAATAAAAAATTTTCTCCCTTATTGATATGGTTTACTTTTCTGCCTTCTGCTGTAGTGAGGGGCTAGTTTAAATATTCATAATTCTAAATGTAAATTGAACAATAGGTGGACCCTCTAGTGAGTCTGATGATGGTGGAGAAGGTGCCAGACTCGACGTATGAGATGGTGGGAGGTCTGGACAAGCAGATCAAAGAGATCAAGGAAGTGATTGAGCTCCCAGTGAAGCATCCTGAGCTCTTTGATGCTCTAGGCATTGCCCAACCCAAAGGCGTCTTGCTCTACGGCCCTCCTGGCACAGGTCAGAACCAAGGAATTTATAAACAATAAAGATGGCACAGTAATTTACTATATCTTTATAAAGGATAATGTTTTGGAGTCCAGCTCTATCGTCATTTTGACAAACCTAGAAAGTAAACCATTAGATCAGAACCATTAGTTTTATGATCTTTGGTAAACTAATTTCTACTATGTTTTTGGAAATGTATAATAAAATTTTTGAAAAATAAGGTTTCACATTGATGCCTTGATGGAATTGATGACTAGATTGATACTTTTTCATTTTTTACTCTACTGGACTAGAATATACAAATTTGAATCATCTGGGAATAACCCTAATTTTAATTTAAATTCCGAGTGCATGAAGCTTCAAAGGCCACAAAGTTTGTGATGCCTTGTTTACTAAGAGCTCTCTGGCAGGTTTGTGTGCAGCATTCAGATTTATTTATCGCTCCTGCATAAATATTAATAAATATTTCTTAATTTATTCCAGTGCAACCCATATGGGTACAGTGTGTGAATGTACAATGGAAGCTCATAGTGCATGGCACGATGAGCTTCTTTTGGCAATCTGAACGAAGAAAATGTTTAAAAAATATATATTTTATTTTTGTTCCTTTTGTCTAGTCAATTAGGAAAGAAAAGATAAAAAATAGAGTTCCATTCTAGTAATCAAGTCTAACTAAGTTGAAGTAATGAGGGTAAGTATTTCTTTCCTGTTGGTATAACTCTGAAACACTAAAATACTAGTTCTAAATCAGAGTTGTACCTAACATCTTATTCTGCTGGAGGGACTCTGTTAATATACTATAATATCAACGTCCTGTATTGCAGGAAAAACGTTGTTGGCGCGAGCCGTGGCTCACCACACAGACTGCACTTTCATCAGAGTGTCAGGCTCAGAGCTGGTGCAGAAGTTTATCGGTGAAGGCTCTCGCATGGTCCGTGAGCTGTTCGTCATGGCCAGGGAGCACGCGCCCTCCATCATCTTCATGGACGAGATCGACTCCATTGGCTCGTCTAGGATAGAAAGCGGTAGTGGAGGAGACTCCGAGGTACAGCGCACCATGTTGGAGCTGCTCAACCAGCTTGATGGCTTTGAAGCCACCAAAAATATCAAGGTTGTTCACCTGAATATTAACAAGTCTTTAAGGAAGTTATTTTGTAGAATTAATGGTTTCTGCTCTTTGTCTATTCGCACTTTAGGAAAGTTAACTACTTTTGTCAGTTCTTATACATGATATTGCAGCAGAACTCGTTCAGAAACGTTCATAATAATGGCTATCGCACTTAGTTATAAATTTCTAAGTATGAGTTAGTTATGTCATTTGCCCTTAATTGGTTAGGTGCCACTGGAAATTAATGGTAACGGTACAAAGTGATGTCCGCCAAGTTAAATTTTTGTGAAATCTTGATTGTTTTGTTTTTCATCAATACAAGTGTGGGTTTTACTGTATTTCAGGTTATCATGGCAACAAATCGTATTGATATTCTTGACCCTGCTTTGCTGCGGCCTGGTCGTATTGACAGGAAAATCGAGTTTCCAGCACCCAAGGAAGAGGCGAGGCTGGACATTCTTAAGGTGAACTGCCAGGCTGTTTAGTATTCAGAGATAACAATTCAACTCTACTGGAGCTGTGGATTTTAAATTAGTATGCTTTGGGACCATTCTGCACTCAGGTTCTAACATTGCGATATTTTATCATCTTTACATTGTCCAGTGCTGTCAAATATGTGCATTTGCAGTTGAATATTGCTGTACAGTCCTTGACTCATCATAAGGTGCAGTCCATAATCACGCTGGTGCTCACTCCTACAGCTAAAATTGATCTTTGGAGCAATGCATCTATGAGTTTCCAAACCTATGTTTGCAATTTTTTTACGAATTTAAAGATATTTTAAGTGAATTTTTATTTAGTACAGTGGACTCAAAATATTTTTTTTTAGCTACAGTGAAATATTTTCGTTAATAGACTGCTTGAACAGTTTCCATACGTTGTTATATCCTGAAGGTGATGGCAGAATTTGTTAGGTAATTGAGCTTCTGCTTGCGTGGATGTGCATTTTTCATTTCTCACTAAGTTACTAATGTAATTGTGAGCTACGTCAGTATAGTTAGCACAGTCAACTGTCCTGATCTCACGTTTTTATTAACGGATGGGTGATCAGAATACCGATCAGCAATCAACAATGTTCTCTTGTTTAGTTAATTATTTGAACAGTTAGCTCTGCTAGCTCTAAAGTGGATACGCATTTTTATCTAGTATCAAATGAAGATAATTATTTTCTATGCGTGCTATTGCTTTGTACACTACATAAGAATTTTGTATGCTAAAGACGTACGAGTTTTGCCGTTCATCTCTTCACTTTCATTTGTCTCCGATGTACCAAGGTTTACACGTTTGTGTTGGAAACAGTTCTTAACTTAGAAAATTGGCAACCCCTTGAGTTACTTTGTGTTGCAGATTCACTCACGCAAGATGAACTTGACGCGTGGCATCAACCTGCGCAAGATCGCCGAGATGATGCCGGGCGCCAGCGGTGCTGAAGTGAAGGGCGTGTGTACGGAGGCTGGCATGTACGCTCTCAGGGAGCGACGTGTACACGTCACGCAGGAGGACTTCCAGATGGCCGTGGCTAAAGTCATGCAGAAGGATAGTGAGAAGAACATGTCCATCAAGAAACTCTGGAAGTAAAATAGGAGTTGTGAGAATCGATGGACTGGATCAGAGTGCTTGAGGTTATTTAGAAATATTCTTAAAGAGGGAGCACAAAACTATCGGTGTCTTGAAACAATGTGGAAGCAATCAAGAAAATTTCCTGGTATCATTTAACGGTGTTGAGCTGGAAATGTTGATATTTCGATTAGGTAATATTTCTCCCTATGTGAATGAGTTTGCTTCAAGTCTGCTGGCGCAGCTAGCAAACCGTCTGTAGGTGTTAAGTGCAAAATTCAAGCCATTTTACCCTGAAATTCTTCATATATTTCCCCAGAATGACTGATAATAAAACTGACTACATCAAATTGACAGGAAATCGTATTACAAAGCCGCGAAATTTGAAATTACTATCTTTCGCCATAGACTTAATTCCCCATAAATACCGTCAGCTACTTGTAAGCATAATACTTTTATGGAAGAAAAAGTTTTTTTTTTTTTTTTGCTTACATTATCCTACTATTGTGTTTAGTCAGAACGTTTGTAATGTCAACATGAAAACTATGAACGTTTCTATGTGTTAGATTCACAAAAGGTAAGCTCTCATACGTTTAATTATAGTCTACGTTCAATTGCATTCTATTCACGAGATGCCGTGGCATTTATTGCCGAATTTATTCGCTTGTAATACATTCTTTCTTATCACTAAGAGAAAACTTCTCTGTGGATCTTTCATGGTATTTAACCAGTAAAGTGGATCTTTCATGGTATTTAACCAGTAAAGATAGAAACAAATCTACCTTGATAATCTTAATTTTCATTTCCTGATTTTTTTTTTTATTTTGCCTCTCATTCACGTTATACGAAAAACTCGAGTATCATTTCACCTAATCTTCAGTTAGTTGAAAATTTGAAGTAGATATGTAGTATGAAACAGAATTGCAAATACCTTACTTGGACTGGAATGTTGCATCATCTTCGATTTGATTATTGATTGATATGGCACCTGGCGTAAAACTTGGAAACTGAAATGATGAACAATAGTCTCAGCATGAATAACCTGAAGATTATATTTAATTAATATTTCAAACCCCTGAATTTATGTATCATCTTGTAGCTGCCTAAAATAGTTTAACTTATTTAAACCAACATATGCTATGTTGGTGGCGCCGCTAACTTTAGCGTTTAATAAGCGTATCAGGCATTTCAGTGAGAAAACTTGCGACGGTTCTAAGATCATAAGTTAATATTCATGATCATATTTTTGTTGATGATAAGTTAATATATAAACATAAAATTATTTAGAGGGGCTGAAGGTTCCTTAAATTAGGCCTAATGACAACACTTAATGGGCTATAATTTGCGACCAAATTAATGCAGTGAATATATTAGCGCCAAGTGCATTCTTTGGAGCTATTCTGCAGGGGGTGCAGCGCGCGTGTGGCTGCACAAAGGATGTTTAGCGCTCCTTCAGACCCCGAGCCTTGCTAACCTACGTTAAAATTTTGTGGGGAGCGTAATACGACCCTTGGCTCGAACTATATTGCATTTACCTCGTTATTCTCATTAGCCATTCATGAAAATGCATTCAAAATCGCATATGTCTGGGAGAATTCAGTTTGGTCGTTTGATTACGGATAAAGTTAACTTCGTCAAAACAATTCATTTGTAGAGGGCTAGTCCATTCCAGAATAGTAATAGGAGGACGCTGAGCGCGGGTTGGGGTACTGATGCAGTTGATAATTTTTAGTGTCTTATGCACGTGGCAAGAGAAAGGTCGGCTCAACTAGTTAGCCAGTGAAGTGAACAAGATTTGCTATAAGCCTGAATACCTAAGTACCCGATGAAAATTTAGTAGTATATAAGATGCTTTCTTCAGTTTTACCTTCTACACTCGTGTTGCTGTTTCCACGATGTGTCATGATTGCCTACTTTTTAATGTCGAATGGCAGGAGGTGGCGTGCAAATTCTCAGAGAAATGCACTTCTGAATCATTAAGAATAGAATAAAAGTGTCGGCATTGAAGAAATAGGCCCATGGCCTGTTGCCGATTCTTGAACTTTTCGTGACTTGATTCACAAGGGATCCGGCCTTTGGAACCCGATCTTTCCATAACTGACGATTGATTGAGATAGCTGCTTTACTTATTGACTGGTCCGTAATTTGCTAGGCATTTTAAGACTGAACATATGCTCCTGCATAGCTTCGTCTGGTCTTTTTGCCTGGTCCGTAATTTGCTAGGCATTTTAAGACTGAACATATGCTCCTGCATAGCTTCGTCGTCTGTTTTTGAAGATGTTCATACTCGGAGACTGGAGAAAATACTATTTATTAACGTACTAATGTTATTAATCCGTCGTAGCTGATAGAGTGCAGGCTAATCTGAGTTCTCGGTTCATATAAAAAATCATAGTTCGTGTCTATAATCTTACTTCGTGTTTGGCACGAACGATGGTGAATGTTGGCCGTCATATGACGTGGCCGACAATACACAGATTCGTTATTGACGGCGATCCTGCCTCAGTGTTTATTTTCTAACGAGAAGATGAACCTCCTCTCGAAACTCTCGTCCATGGTGAGTTAACATTTCAGTGAGCTCATATTTATTTAGGTGTCAGTTATTCTTGCATGTATTATGTTCGTTAGTTAATGAGCGAACACAAAATTAAAGATCATGGGCTTCTGTAAGAATAGATTTAAACTTTTCATTAGCGTCAAACTTTTTGGTCATTTCTTTGTTCGTGAAGTAATTGTTAGAGTCCTTTTTAGTTGTACAATTAACCCTTATTTCATCATAGGATTTACGGTTAACTACTAACATCTTGGAACTAGTGCAAGTATTTAATTGCATATATTATTATAATGTTCTACCATATAATAATGTAATCATTGTGTAGAGAAGTATATTCCTGAGTTAGTTTTTTTTGTTCATTTGTTTGTCAATTCAAAGTTTGGTTGCCGTGCATAATCATTTGTTATTTCAGCTGGTGCGGTGTAGCGCCACCGGAGCGCAAGTACAGCACCTTCCCGCACGCACGCTGGCGAGCAACTGGAGAGCCGCGTCGCTTATTGCCCAGACGTGCGTACATTCATTTATATATTTATGCAAGCTTGATTGAAGATCAGAGAATGCTTTTATTAATACTTTTCTAGAATGTTTTTTTTTTCAATGAGTCTAACCGAATTGAATGCTGGTGTTGGCAGATCAAAAAGCATCAATCAACTTTGAATACATTTTAACTTGATTCTTTTCTTCACACAGCCAGTTAATTAAACAATGCAAATGAAGTTGTCGATAACTTGGAAAAATAATAAATAAACATGTAGATGAGGATGTCGGTGTTAGTACTTCTTTATTTTTCGCCTCGTTTACAATAGTGAAATTAAACATTAGAGATGAACCACAAAACGTGACATAATGTGAGTGATACAAACTGCCCTGCCTTTCAGGTCTCCAACGTCCGTGGCTGCGGTGCATCGCATCCTCTGCTCCAGTGCGTTATACTCTGCGCCAAATCAAGGTGTGTATTCATATCATAACTTCATATATTCAATTGTTATTCAATGATGAGATAAAGCAGTACACTTCATCCGTCATTTATTGATTAAATAATTATTGGTTATGAGATAATACATGTATAATTATTTCTCGGTCTTCCATGGGAGGTAGCCACAGTACTTATCCCGTCACTATCCCTGAACAAACTATCTATTTCATAAGTAGGCAACATTAAAACAGCGTTGCATTCAAACAGCAATTCATTCAAACACCGTTGCATTCAAACAGTGTTGCATTCAAACAGTATTGCATTCAAATAGTGTTGCATTCAAACAGCCTTGCATTCAAAACCGTTGCATTCGAACAGCGTTCCCTTCAAACAGCATTCCCTTCAAACAGCGTTGCGTCCATACAGCGTTGCGTTCAAACAGCGTTGCGTCCATACAACATTACGGTCATACAGCTTTGCTTTCAAACAGCTTTGCCACTTGTAATAATTGTAATAGCAGGGAGATCAATCGCAAAAAATGCTAATTATCCATGAAATGTGGTCTGTAAATCGAAACACTAACTCTTCTCTACGCAAATGAAGTTAAAACAACATTAATTTTGAGTTACTTTTAATCCTTTTACAACATCATTCAAACGTTAGATGCCTGTTGGATCTGCTCTGAGACTGTGGACTGTCCAAGCCTCCTATGGCTATCACAAAAATAGTTATATTTCTTTAATATCGGCTTGAAAAACATGCGAATTAATCGGAGATTTTTTCAGCTATGGTGATGAGTGTTAATAATTTTTAACGATTTAGTAATAATATTTTGTATTGTTTTGAGTTATGGAATTGGTCTAATAAAGAGCAAGTCGTATCATGCTTCTGTTGAAGAAATGTAAGCGTTTAGATCACTAAGATTTTTAAGAAATCTTAGCGGTGTAATGAAGCGTCATTCAATATGGTTTCATTTCATGTTAGCAGTTAGGTTTGAAGTAGAAAATGTAGACCAAATAATCTAAGCTGAATATACTTTTTTTTGTTTCTCAGATCTTTTATGTATATTAGACATTAACCTGGCTGCTTACTATACAACCACTGAAATGCCTTCTCAACTTCAATGACTTGTTCAGTGTTCGTATAAGAAATAATTCCTGATATAAGCTGGAAATAGCCACCACGATCTTTGAATCGATTGAATTAAATTCTTAATTTATGATGATATTGATGTAGTCAACCCGTAGGTTCTGACAACCGCGACCCACATCGTGGCTCTGGCAACCATGGCAACAACCAGAACCGTTCCTCTGGCAGCAGCGGCAACGACAACGACGACGAGCAAAACAAGCGCAACAAGAAGATGCAGCTGAAGGCGGCGCTCTGGATGGTCACGGCTTACATATTCGTCGTGTTACTGGGCATGCTATTCCCGAGCTCCGGCCCTCCAGAGGTATGGTTCATTAAAACATAATACCAATAAATGTTTGCAAAGTTTGGAAAAGGGCCTTTAAAATTTATATAGTAAGAAAAAAAGCTGGATTGATGTTGTTAGCAATGTTATACTTTATGCACCTGGAATTTCTTGAGACATTGGCCATGAATTTGCAAAATTTTATTTGTAGAATTAATTGAAATTGGTTAGAAAATGCGCAAATTCTCTCGTATTCACTCTTGTTCCAGTTAAGTATGTTAATTTTCGTCGCAATTAAGCCACTTGCACTGCCACTGATTATAATAATTAGTTGATTAATGATCAGCTTAGATTACATTGATAATTTAAACGCTGAATGACGGAAAGTTTTTGTTTTGGTCATCACGACCGGAAATCCAGTATGTATGTATTTACCGCCATTTCGTCAAAAAACTATTTAGTGATATGTAAATTATTAGGGCTAGGATATTAATATTTGTTTTAAAAAAATTTTAAGTTGTACTGTGATTGGATAGCGTTCCCGCTTGACCTGATGAACGGCATTTATTTAAGTGGTCTGGAAATTTTGCGTTAAGATGATTTTCCATTGATAAATTTCGATATTTTTGTGAGAGCTTTTAGAAGTGAAATGCATTTGCATGAAAGGCTAAACCTTAATCCTACTGATCCTGTGTGGGGATAATGGACAAACCATCCAATTAAGGCGGAATTTTATATATTGGCAAGTTATTTAACTGTTATATTTTAGTGCATCATTACCTTATAATGAAATACCTAATGTTTTTCACGTGCAGCACGTGGTGAGGTACGTGTCGTGGCACGAGTTCGTGCATCAGATGCTGGCACGAGGCGAGGTGGAACGAATCCTCGTGCGTCCTGACGTGCGTGACGTCATCATTCACCTTCAGGAGGGCGCCGTTATCAAAGGGAAGAAGGTAAGAGGTTCAGCTCTGTAACTATACCTAATTTCCTGTATTACAACGAGATCTAAATAATTATTGGATAGTACAGGTAGTACAGAGAGAGAGATGTTAAGTTTCTGCGAATTGCGGGGTATAAAGAAAACGCAGCATTAAAAGCTACTAGTCTTCTTCTAGGACCAGTTAATTACTTACAAACTTTAATCTGTTCTCCGTTACATGCACGCAACTAACCCGTAACTTCGAGAGCCAGTAATGTGACTTATAAACTTTAATCTGTTCTGCACTATATGCACGCAACTAACCTTTAAATGACTACCAGGTAGACCAACTGACGTACCATCTGAACGTGGTAGACGTCGATAAGTTCGAGGACAAGTTACGGGAGCTGGAGCGGTCGCTGGGCTTGTCCGGCAGTCACGGCGTGCCTGTCGAATATTCCAGGGCTTCAGACTCCGCCGGTTTCCTGATCACAAAACTGCTGCTGGCGGCGCTGCTTGTGGCGCTCATCTACTCTCTGCGCTCAAATGTGTCGGTCCCGTTCAAGATGGACAGCTTCGTGAGTGATTGATAGAGTTGAGGTTTGCGTGTTTATTTACGAAATCAAATTGAATGATTATCCTTATCTAATATTATAAGGGGTTTTCCTTAATAATATTTATAATTTGAGTGATTATACTTATCTAATATTATAAGGGGTTTTCCCTAATAATATTTATAATTTGAGTGATTCTACATATCCAATATTATTGTAAAAGGGTTTTCCCTAATAATATTTATAATTTGAGTGATTCTACTTATCCAATGATAAGTAGAATCACGTTAAGGGGTTTTCCCTAATAATATTTTTAATTAATATGCTCGTGTGGCCCACAGCGCCAGATGACTCGAGCCAAATTCACGGCAATCGACCCTCTTCTGCCGGGGTCTGGCCGAGGCGTTCGTTTCTCTGACGTTGCTGGGGCTAAGGAAGCCAAGCAAGAAATCATGGAGTTCGTGGACTTCTTAAAGAATCCACTCAAGTACCGCCAGTTAGGAGCGAAGGTGAGAACGTTCGTAACCAGAAAATTAGGGACCATCACAACCGCAACATCCCTCTAAAAAATACACACACACATACAACAAACAAATACAAACCGTACAACTAAACAAATAATATCATAAACAACACATACCAAATTCTATTCATCAATCACTTTAGCGCAATCTTTTCTCTCCACAAACACACCAATTCACTCACTACAGGAATAACAGTTTACAAGTGGAAGGATACAAAACCAGTACATTTCATTTCCAACTACCACGGAGTTGAAGCTTCTACTGTGCAAAGGAAGGACCAAACTGGCACAAAAACGGTCGTCACCTGTCCAACGGTGGCAAAAGATTATAATAAACACATGGGGGAAGTTGATAAGCATGACATGCTAAGGCAAATCTATGGCATCAATAGGAAGAGCTTGAAATGGTGGCATCGTATATTCTTCGGACTTTTAGATATGACAATCGTGAACAGCTTCCTCATTCACAAGGAACATTGTCAATCTGCCATTTCCCTCTTGGAATATCGACAAGAAATAGCATGTGGACTCCTGGCATATGCAGAACATTCATGCACCCATCATGCCAAGAGGAAAAAAGGAAAATTCTTGACACCGGACTCCGTGCGGTTGAGCAATGCTGGAATTCACTGGCCCCTGTTCACAAACATTCGTGGTCGTTGTGAAGTTTGTTCCCTGGATAAAGTGGAATCACGTCCATTATCCAAATGTTCTCACTGTGGCGTTCATCTTTGTTGCAACATAAAAAACTGTTTTGTCGAGTATCACAAGTAGCTAGGAAGCGTGCAAGTGCGCGTGCGATAAAGGAAACGTGATGTATTCAGTTATTATTTTATCTCACCTTGTCACATAAGCCAAAGTTATTATCCTACGTCATAAATTAATATTTCATTCAGTCTTCAGATTATTTTTCTATATACTTACTGATAATAAATATCTGATTAGCTTTTACACTGTATCAAATGTGTATCAGCAAGGCAAAAAAAATCAGCTACTTTTTATGCTGAAAAGATATTCTTTTATTTGTTTTTTTTTTTTGTTAATTTTGTAAGTCGAAAATGTTTACTGCAAAACGTGTTTTATTATTCATTATTATTGTTAATAAGTGCATATTGTACAGATCTTGGAGCATAATACAGGGGATTGCGTGTAATGGCTATACGATTACTACATGATACCGCGAGCCCTGACGGGACTCTGGAGTCCCGGATCAGTATTTTTTATATTAATTGATTTTTTTTATTTTAGTACCATAGAAACTATAATAGAGGTTCATAAAGCACAATTAACACAAAAAAATACATAAAATAACTTCCATCATATAGCCGGGTGGAAAGGGTTAATCCTGGCTGAGAAAAACTTGCTTGAAAATTTTTCCCAGGGAGAGAAAAACTTGGGAAAAAATCCGGAAAAAATCGCGAAATTTTTTTTGTGGGAATTTTGGAATTTTTTCAATGCCATATCATAAAACAAGTCTGGGGATGATTTTTCATCTAAATAAACGTTCCTGTAAGATGCACGGATTTCGAGTTATTTTGCCTTGAATTTTCGCCAAAAAATCGAAAAATCCATTTTTTCGAATATCTCGCGAGCCAAGCAGTTTTTCGAGAAATCGCTTGAAATAAACCCCTATTAACTTTCAATTTTAGATAATTTGACGTAAAAATTTCCTCTCTAGCTTCAACCGTTTGGCCTCCACAGACCAACTGGCAAAAATTTCAATTGGCTTTTTCTCCGTGGGAAAAAAATATAGAATTGTTCCAAAAAATTATTCTGAAAGAAGAAATTTTTCTCTACAATATATCAAAAGTGCAAGGTGCAAATAATTTTTTTTTCTAATTTTAAAAATTTGTCAAAAATTTTGTCAATTTTTCACCTGAACCCCCGTGGGGGGCACATTTTTGGCGGATCGGGTCAGGATGCTTGGGAAAAATGCTTCAATCTTTGAGAAGAAAAACGAGCCAAGATTGAAGCGCGTGCAAGGTCTGGTTGATTTTTGGTGATTTTTTGAAAAAAGTCACTTTGTTTGGGGAATAGTGTCTTCCCCATGGGGAATTTCAGGAATCGGACTCCTGATTCATCAATAGGGAATCGAGCTCTATTTTTAGCCAAAATTTCAGCTTCCTGGCAGGCCTGGAACATAGGAAATGCGACCAAACGGCAACATTTTTTGTAAAGGTCAAAAGAGGGTGTTCAGACCTCGTCATTGTCAACGTTAGATGAGTTACCAATGTGCGGAATTTTGTCTCAGTGTTTTCTTACAAAAATTTTTTTCGGGGGGTCCTCGCGTGTAATAAATATGGCAACACTTTGTGACGTTTCATTGTTGCTCGCGCATAGTGCGGTGTTTTGAGAGTCACATAAAGCAAACAGAACTTGAGTAACGCATACGGTTATTTTTTTTAGAGTTTTTCATTTCTCAATGCGTCCTTAATGTGTCGGAATATACCGCGTTTACCCTATATGGGTTTTTAAGCTCAAAGCGTCACCAACCACAACCATTTTCAAGATGCGTTGCTGGGTAATTTTTGATGAAAAGCCATTTATGCTGAGTAGATCTTCATATAACCTACTGCTCAATCCTCGTGCAAGCAAAGACTCGGTTCCACGACGAAATTTTACGATTATTTCGATTTTGTGGAAGAAATTGCAAACCTAACATGATGAAGATTTCAGCGTATGCACAGGATGTCATGACCGACACGTGTGCAAAGTTTCGTGGCATTTCATTACTTCTTCGCGGAGTAATTTGGGTTTAATGGGTATGAAGACTATTCACTCGCTGAACACTCACTCACATGACTATTCTATCACCTGCCTTAGTGAATAGTCGAGCTGCAGTTTTCTATGAAGGTATTTTGAGGTCAGACTCTTGCAAAGCAAAGTGATAGAATATCGATCTCGACGACAGAGAAGATTATAGATGGAACAAGTTTCCAGAAGAAACAAATTTCCACATAGAACAAGTTTCCAGGTGAAAAATGTTTCCAGATGGAACGAGTTTCCAGATGGCACAAGTTTACAGATGGAACAAGTTTCCAGACGGAACAAGCTTATAGATGGAACAAATTTCCAAATGGAGCAAGTTTCGAGATGGAACAAGTTTACAGATGGAACAAGTTAACAAATGGAACAAGCTTCCGGATGAATCAGGTTTCTAGATGGAACAAGTGCCAGGTGGAACCAATTTCTAGATGGAACAAGTTTTCAGACGGAACAAGCTTACAGATGGAACAAATTTCCAAATGGAGCAAGTTTCGAGATGGAACAAGTTTACGGATGGAACAAGTTTCCAACTGGATCAAGTTTCGAGATGGAACAAGTTTCCAGGTGGAACAAGTTCTAAGTGGAACAAATTTCCACATGGAACGAGTTAACAAATGGAACAAGTTTCCATATGAAACGAGTTTCCAGATAAAACAAGTTGCCAGATGGAACAAGTTGTCAGATGGAACAAGTTCCAGGTGGAGCAAGTTTGCAGATGGAACAAGTTTGCAGATGGAACAAGTTAACAAATGGAACAAGTTTCCAGATTTTTTGTGGGAAAAATTGCAAAGCGATCCTAATGAAAATTTCAGCGTATGTACAGGAAATCATGACCGACACGTGTGCAAAGTTTCGAGGCATTTCATTACTTTTTAGCAGAGTAAGTGGGTAGTGAGTGGGAGAGACCTTACACTATGCTATTCACTCGCTTGGCTCATTAGAGAGCAGCCGAGCGATTAGAGAGCAAACGAGCGAATAGTGCAGTTTACTTTCACGCCGGCCCAAACTGAGCGAATAGCAACAGACTCGTACGCGCGAAGTAGGCACGGCGTCGGTTTCACGGAAAAAATTTACGAATATTTCGATTTTATGGGAAAAAGTACTAAGCGACGACCAAATGAAAATTTAACCACATGTACAAGAAGTGATGCCCTAGACGTGTGCGAAGTTTCGAGTCAATTAATTGCTTTGTCGCCCAGTAATTGGATGGGGAGTGGGAGGGGTTTTAATTTTTTTGTAGATGTAAAAATGATGCTAGAGGGCTGTAAATTTACAGGCACATACTTCTCATCATGGTCGACATGTGTGCCGAGTTTAGGACTTGTGACTTTTTGCATGGCTGAGAAAAAAATTTTTCAAAAATTTTCATGAATATATGTTTTTAATTTTTTCTCGCCGCAAAAATGATGCTAGAGGGCTGTAAATTTACGTGAACTCACTTCCCATCATGCCCAACACGTGTGCGAAGTTTGGAACTTGTGGCTTTCTGCATGGCCAATCAATGCAGATGCAGGTAGATAAATCAATTTATCTGCATGCCTGCCACAAGTCTCGACACTCAAAATGCCCTCACACTACCTCTATTTGCCCTACCTTCCTGTGCTCTACCTTCCTTTGCTCTACCTTCCTTTGCTCTATCTTCCTTTGCTTTACTTTCATTTGCTCAACCTTTAGTTGCTCTACCTCGATTTGCTCACTCTTAAATGCAAATATGCTCATTCATCATGCTAGCTCTACCTCGATTTTCCCTGCCGCGAACCTTGTGCTCTATAAACGTGCAAGCTCTACCTTCATGTGCTCTACCTTCCTTTGCTCTACCTTCCTTTGCTCTACCTTCCTTTGCTTTACCGTCATTTGCTCAACCTTTAGTTGCTCTACCTCGATTTGCTCACTCTGAAATGCAACTAGTGCTCTATCATCATGCTAGCTCTACCTCGATTTTCCCCCCGTGAACCTAGTGCTCTATAAACGTGCAAGCTCTATCTTGATTCACTCTTCATATAACCTACTGCTCAATCCTCGTGCAAGCAAAGACTCGGTTCCACGACGAAATTTTACGATTATTTCGATTTTGTGGAAGAAATTGCAAACCTAACATGATGAAGATTTCAGCGTATGCACAGGATGTCATGACCGACACATGTGCAAAGTTTCGTGGCATTTCATTACTTCTTCGCGGAGTAATTTGGGTTTAATGGGTATGAAGACTATTCACTCGCTGAACACTCACTCACATGACTATTCTATCACCTGCCTGAGTGAATAGTCGAGCTGCAG